ATTCTCTTGACAAGAGGAATCCGAAACAGTGATCAGCTTTTCATTTTCGGAAAACTTCCGCTGCTGCCCCCCCCCCCCTTAACTTACGTACGAAACTCCACTAATCACTTGGTTTGCTTCTCATACTGGGAATTCTTGAAACTGTGCAGGACGAGTTCCGCAGATCTAAAACTAAGATAAATATACTTAGTTGGACTAAATAACGATGCGATCACTTGCTACGAAGCGTCTTAGTCTTAAAGTGGGCCCACTCGGAACCAGGCTTTTTTTGGTAGAGACAGTGTTCCAAAATCTTGCCCGGCTTTGCACTTGCTTTGCACTCACGGTCACTCTTTGCGCATTCGTTGCGCACTCGAACGTCCTGCACCCGATTCGCACCTTTTATGCACTCGACCGTGCACTTCTAACGCACTCGCCCTGCACTCTAAAGGCACTCAATACGCACTCGCTTTATTTTTAAAGGGGTACTGCACAATGATGTGCAGTGGGCCGCACACTGCCAGAGCTGTGCGAAAGAAAGAGAGCGGCAGTACCGAGGGGTGTGGAACTGGTCAAAAAAGTGTACACATGATTGTGTCTAGACCGAGGGGGCACCAACTCCGAAATTTCGTGCACTGTGAATACACTCTTATAGTGAATATCACTGAATAATCACTGAATATCGCCTGAATACTGAAGGTATTAATTCCCTCGTGAATCGTGAATACTAGAAGTCACTGCCCCCTCGGTCTAGACATTCATTGTTTTAGATTGTGTATGATTGTGTGTGGTTGTTTCTGATCGTGTCTCCGATTGTCTTTGATTGTTTTACATTGTTCGGTAAATATTGGGACGTAATTTTAAAAATGGTGTCATGATTGTGTCCGATTGTGTGTGATTGCTTCCGATTGTGTGTGATTGCTTCCGATTGTGTGTGATTGCTTCCGATTGTGTGTGATTGCTTCCGATTGTGTGTGATTGTGTTGATTGTGTGATTGTTTCTGATTGTGTATGATTGCTTCTAATTGCAATTAGCCCACCTTCTTGTGCTGCGCTACGGTGGGAAAGTACTGGCCTGACCGAGCTAAGCTGAGCCGGGGTGGCTGGCGGTAGGGGTGGACTCCCCGGGACGTAGGTAGCGGCGCTGCGGCGCCCGGCCGGGTTACTAGAATACCGTACGGCTCTTGCTTCGGCCGCTACCCCGGGAAAGGCCTTCTCCTGCCGGCAACCATATCTCTCTACACCGTGGATACATCCTTCCTCTGCGACTTCCACTCTTAGACTGATGAGGACGAGATCGTGGCCCACGATTCGTGGGCCGGAGTCGCAGAGTGTGCAGTGCAGAAGTGACCTCAGGTACCCCAGGCGTGACACCGCGCGCCGGTCAAGGAATTAGCGCCAGCGCCCGGCCGGGGTTTACTAGGAAGGAAAAAACCAACTGAACACGGGCACTGCGGGTACAGGCCAACCGGAACCGGGCGAACAAAAGACGTACTCGAGTCGCTATCAGAGCGAATATGACGATGACGTGATTGTTTCGTGATCGTGTGTGATTGTTTCGTGGTTGTGTGTTTGTTTCGGATTGTGTGTGACTGTTTACGATTGTGTGTGATTCTGTCTGATTGTTTCATGATTGTTTCTTATTGTTTTTCACGATGTACACATATTGTGTCCAGTTCCTCGCCCCTCGGGCAGTACATAAGCGGTGCTGTCGCTTCCCGTACAGAAAAAAGTAGATCTAGATCGTCTCCAGTTGAGACACGCTAGAGACGCTTTGAAGACCGTATGGAGGTAGCGAGGAGACACCGTAGAGATTGAGTAAGAGACACCGGGGAACCGCTCTAGAGTCATCATGGAGACATTGTTCAGATATTATTGCTGGTGTCTCGTAGGAGCATCTAAAGAGTTTCGAAAAGGAGTCTCCTGCGAGACGGCTTGGCGACATTTCGACGAGGCAGTCTAGAGCCCATTTCTAAACATCCCAGAGACGAGCAGAGACGACAGGAGGGAGCGCGAGGTGGACGCCGAGAGTTCCCATCAGCCGGCATTCTCGAGACACTTTCAAACTCGCGTCGAGACACCGCGGAGACGGGGCGCAGCCCCTTAGAATTCACACGAGGCATCGCCGAGACGGTAGCGGTA